GAAATTAAGGAGACTCTAAATTCAATTTGCCTTGAGATTCACAAACTTAATGAGCGTTTCTCGGCGGTCGATCAACGTCTCACAGTTATGGATCAGAAAATAGATATTCAACATGCCAGAATTCAATGTGTGGAGAATCAATTACAGAACGCCGGCCTTATGGTGCAGAGCCCCAATATCAGGGGAGCAGCTCGGATTCACCCGGATATCTTTCCAGAGGGAACGCCTTTATCGGCGCCCACTCCCATGAGTATCCCCAGTTCGAATAGTACAGTTGCTTCTGTACAGAACCTGACGGCAGGGTCAGGGAGCACCTCCAATGATCAAGATGGCCTCGCACGCTGAATTTCGTATATGGCAATGGAACTGCAGGGGGATCCTTAGCAAAAGGGGCACCCTGCAGCAATTTGTCCGCTCTCACAGCGAGAAGCCGCAAGTGATCCTACTGCAGGAGACGCTGTCTGATAGTGTAACCCTCCCGGGGTACAAGGCACATGCAGTTAAAGGGGAAGGCAGAGGGATTGCCACGTTAGTCAGCAACAAGTTCACCTTTGTGACACATGATCTAGGGGTAAGACCTAATAAAACGGAGCTCTCCTTAGTTGAGGTCATTCCGAGTTCTTCCAACCTTTCCAGCATTTTTATACTGAACATATATAGTAGCCCTAGTGATCATAGGCAGCGTTTTAGGACGATCATAGCTAAGGCAACCAGATTGGCTGGGCTCTCTCCTCTGGTTGTGGCGGGGGATTTTAACTCGCCTTTCCGGGCGTGGAACTACCCGTATGATTCAGCTAAAGGCAGGAGCTTGTGGCAGGAGACGGGAGATGCGGATCTCTCGTTAATTACGGACCCGATGTTTCCTACTAGGCGCGGCACATCCACCACCAGGGACTCCACCCCGGACCTAGCTTTCGTGAAAAATGCTGGCTCGGTAGGTTGGGAAAATCTTCTGACGGATTTAGGAAGTGATCATTATATTACAGTTACTAAATTACAGATGGAGGCAAAATCTAAAAGAAAGTTTACTTACGTGGATTGGGATAAATTTCGGGAGTCACGCAGCGCTCGAGCGGAACAGGGGGAAATCCCGGACTCTCTGGGGCAATGGACAGAGATGCTGCTGCAGGACGTTAGAGCGGTTACCAGAACCATTGAGACAGAGGTACAGACAAACAAAATGGACAGTCGGCTTGCGCATTTACTGGAGGCAAAGCAGTCGCTATTGGCCAGATGGAAGGGTCAGAGACTTAATCGTAGGCTTCGGAAAAAGATAGCAGAGTTAAATACACAAATTGAAGAACATTGCAAAAACTTGTCGAGGCAGCAGTGGGATGAAATTTGTAATTCAGTCGATGGACAAATGCGAACCAGAGGTAAATGGAATCTTTTAAAACACTTGCTTGACGAGTCGGGCACTAAATCTAATCAGAGGGGGGTCCTTGCTAGAATACTTCATCTTGCTCAAAAATCCTCCTCGGGCGCGGAGCTATTGGGGCAGCTTGCTGAGAAGTATCTACCGCTAGCAGTTGATTCCATGCAAGCCTATCCGGGGTATATGGGAACACCTTGTGCCCATTTGGATGAACCCTTCACCATCAGCGATGTGCGACGTGCCCTGCACGAACTCAATGGCCGATCGGCACCGGGTCCAGATAGGGTCACCAACAAAGCGCTTCGGAATTTGGAAGATGACTCTGTTGAATTTCTTACTGATGAGATTAATAGGATTTGGAAGGGAGGTGACATCCCGGAACAATGGAAGTTGGCCAAGGTGATCCTCATTCCCAAGCCCGGCAAAGCACCAAGTTTGGACAATCTGCGCCCCATCTCTCTCACGTCATGCGTGGGAAAGGTGGTGGAACACGTTGTCCAGAACCGAATCGCGGACTACATAGAGCACAATGATCTCTTCCCTCACTACCTTATTGGCTTTAGGCCAGGCCTCTGTACGCAGGATGCTATGAAAATCATTAAGTGTCAAATTTTAGATAATCATACCAGAGACACCAGGGCGATCCTAGGCTTGGATATAAAAAAAGCGTTTGATAATGTCCGCCATGATTCTATTTTAGATGCGATCTCAAGTCTCAACCTAGGTTCCTCATTTCATGCGTTTGTCAGATCCTTCCTGTGTGGTCGAAAAGCCATACTTAAAGTTGGAGATCTAGAATCGGATGTGCAAGCGCTGGGAAATAGGGGCACCCCGCAGGGATCTGTTCTATCACCCTTACTTTTTAACATCGTCATGGCTGGTCTCTCGAGGCAGCTTTCTGGAATTTCAGATGTTGGTCATACAATTTATGCCGATGATATCACCATTTGGTGTAGAGGAGGAAGTGATGGCACTGTAGAGGCGGCCCTGCAAGAGGCCATCGACACTACCGAGAGTTTTCTGGAAGACACAGGCCTTTCTTGCTCTCCGGAAAAGTCTGAGCTTCTCCTCTATAAACCGGTCAGGAGGGGCCGTCGACCGCGAGGCTGGGTGCCGCCCCTAGAAAATGACATCCACTTACGTACCAAAAGTGGACGATCAATCCCCAAAGTCGCTTCCATTCGGATCTTAGGTATGACGCTAGAAGCAACGGGCACCAACACCATCACGATTAAAAGGTTGGAAAAAAAGACAGACAGTGTTATTAGGCTCATAAGACGGGTGGCTAACCGAAGGACAGGACTATCAGAGGACAACTTGGTCAGGCTTATACATGCTTTTCTGCTGTGTCATTTTGCATATGTGGCGGCAATGCATGTCTGGAAGAGAATGGAAAGGGACAAGCTTAATGCAATGATCAGGAGAGCTGTAAAGAATGCCCTTGGGCTCCCCAACTACACCCACACCAACCGTCTCCTGCAGTTGGGAATTCATAATACATTGGAGGAAATTGCGGAAGCACAAGAAAGAACACAGGTAATTAGGCTGTCTGGCTCAAAAGCGGGGAGGATGATTCTCGCAGAAATGGGTATTCCACCAGCTCAGATTGAGGCTCTGTACCAAGGGTTGACGAGGGATCAGAAGGAAAACATCATTGTCTCGCCTGCCCCGCGGAACATGCATCCCCAACGTAATGTTGGAAGGAGGAGAGCGCGCGCTCGGGCCCTTCTTCGCCAAGTTGCGGATCTTGACGGGGGGGCCTGTTTCGTAGACGCGGCGCAATATGATGGCCAGAGAGACCGATTCACGGTAGTGGCAATCAACCACAAAGGCATTACAATTAATGCGGCGTCGGTATGCGCCAGAACTGCCAATGCAGCTGAGCAGGTTGCCATCGCCTTGGCTCTTTTAGATCAGCGTAATGAACACATATTTAGCGATTCTAGAGCTGCCATTCGTGCCTTCAGTGTTGGAGCTGTGTGCAAAGAGGCCAAAAACATACTCGGTGATAAGTTGCTTACAACCCATACCATTACATGGTTCCCAGCTCATATGGGAAACATGGACGGAGGGATCATAAATCTCAATGAGTTGGCCCACTCCAGGGCGCGAGGGTTAGCTGTCCGCGGCCATGGAGGACCTTTGGGTCGAACTGGAGATTTCGTAAACAGGGATCCGCCAACTACATATAATGAAATAACCCAACATTTCGCTATGGATAGGAGAATCTTTCCACCTCCACATGCGAAGCTAAATAGAGCGCAGGCGCTTACATTGCGATTACTTCAAACAGAAACGTACCCTAACCCTGCCTTTCTTCACAAGCTTTATCCTGATGTTTATTTAACCAACTCGTGTACAAAATGTGGCGGTTTAGCCACCTTACACCACATGCTCTGGGAGTGCCCTTCGGTACGTGGCACCGATACAGCATCGTCCAGAAAGTGGGACTCCGCTCTCCGGAGTCCAGACATAACATCGCAACTTTGGGCTGTCCAGAGGGCCCACGATGCGGCGCTAGGGCTCGGCCTTACTGCCCCATCGTGGGAGCGGCCCGCCGTGTGCTAGGGCGCACGCCTTCGGACTTGTCAATAAAGTTTTTCCAAACCAAACCAAACCAAATGGCTCCTGTTCTCGCAGGCCTGTTGTTAAGACGGTGTGTGAGAAGTTCGGCAGAGAAAGCATCCAATTTCTTTTTTCTTTTGCCACACATGCATTAGTGGATGACTGGTTCCCTTGGGTTCTCCTCCCTCCTTCTTTTCCTTTTTTTGTCGCTTGTTTTCCCATTACTGATTCTCTATGGGTCCTCTTGGTCGTGATTATTTGGTAAGAAAGCATTTTTCTGATGCACACACACTAGCTTTACTGCGGTGTCTAAATTCACTTTCCATCGCTGATTAACTCCCCTTTTGTTCTCATTAATTCCACTTTGTTCTCATTTTCTTCTAATAATTAAGCACCTTCTATATTCCCAGCAACTTTCTTTCTATTTGCCATAAAAGGACTTTCTTTCAAACATTTAAGCCTTGCCCCCTTCCCCCTCCAAAAAAATCCTAGCTATGTGCCTAGTATAAGTGTAGGGTTTCCATATATGGTGGTCAAATCGCCATCGCAGTTGCATTATCAAATTTAGGGCAAAACTGGGACGGCATGAAATTCGGGAAGATGCGTTATTTTCGAGGAACGTTGGCTGGGAGTAAAAAAAAAAGTGTCATACTAACAATATTTCAATGTACTTTGCACTGCTGCTAACTACAGCATTTATAATGCATTATGTAATCGTGATGTGTGACTGGGTGAAACATGGACGTCACCCCGCTGTGCCAATATTTGTCAGTGTTGCATGAGTATACGTATAGCTTGCATAAAGATGTACACAACCATTCATAAAATATTGTTGAGGCCCTCTTGATGAGATTTTTGGCTGCACCCCTGTTTTACAGTACTTGGCTGCTAATTTTTGATGATTCCAATAGTGCACTTTGCATTATTTACTGGAATTTCGTGTGAGCAGATGTCTTACAGTAATTATATGCTGTCATCTTAAATACTACATAATTAAGGGTAATGACTTACCCTCTGCTGACAGAGCTAGCATTCACAATGAATTGGTTATGCCTTGCAGCTGGCCTTTCATCAAGAGGATGCTTTGGAACTTGAAGAAGAAGCCAAAGCACTGCCAGATGCTGTTGAGGCACCTCCAATATCTGCAGGCCAAAGGGTTGTCATGCGATCAAAGCTTTCCAAAGAAGACAACTGGACAGGCGCTGATCACAATGCTTGGGCACTGTGCGTTGCTGTATTCAAAAAATTGCATGTTTGAGAGGTGAAAATTTTGCTTATTTGTTCTTCGAATGCTGCAGTGCGGGGGAGGAGGAGATCCTGAATGCTGCAAAGCTGCGCTGCCAGGGACATCTACCCAGCTGTGAGTGGCTCAGTGTAAACCATCCTCGCATAATGAGCAAGGTCTTTCATTATCGCTACCGCTATTAGAGTGCTGTGTTAATAATCAAAGATTAACACATTTATTTGTCGACGCTTGGTATTTTAAGAAAGCATTTTCTCCGAGATAGCTTTTCCACACCATCCACTTCTGTCATCGATGTTACATGCATGAGCAACTACCTTTTGTTTACCTGTTAACTTTGAGGTGTTATTGACACTGCCATGTGTGCTCCTGATGGGCATATCGCTTCATAAAATGAACCCATACCGAAAGTTGTGTGATATTATTTTTGGTGTTTCATTGCACAGCCAAGAATGCAGGACAAACTATATTTACTCACACAATCCTTGCATTTTTTTTTTCTCGGGAAAACTGATGAAAAGTTGGGGGGTGTGAGAATTGCGCGAGGAAAATTTTCTGCACAAACGTTCGAAGCACTAAGAAAAAACGGAGAAAAAAGAAAACTGAGAGGCTACAAATCGAGGTTTTCATGCCAGTTACACAAGCTTTGACAAGTAATTATCAAGACTTATCTTAACAATATATTCACAGGCTCCACACAAAGCAAGATTTATTTGTAGACACTAAAGCCACTAGCTGATAGTCTTTCAAGGAAGAAGTGCCGCTTCAACCTGCGGATATTTGTCGGTCTTGGGCTCTCTCAAGGCCTGACGCATCTTGTGGCTTTCAGCTGCTCATGCAGCCATCGCCAGTAGTGAACACAGAACTCATCACAACTTCAAAATGAATGTTGGTGGCCCTATTGCCATTTTTTGGTGCATGATCCATCACATCCAACTTGAAAGCAGCCGCGTACAGAATAGACACAACTAACGCACCGCACCGTGCCTCCTTGCGTACTTCCGACCTGTGCCTTGGCTTGGATTAGATTAAGGCTCTGTGCGTTCATAGTATGCACAATGCTTAAGAAATTGCGCTAGGCTCTCATGCACTATCATCATCTGTGGTTGAATAAGTAGCAGACGGCATTACTGCTACAATTTTGGGAGGTGTGATGATTACTCGCTAAAAAAATGAATTTTTGTTGGGCAATGTGGAGGTGCGAGAATTATGCGAGGGCGAGGATTATGTGAGTAAATACGTTAGGTGTGCAAAGTTCTGTGAAAGGGGCCCTGCGATAGAAAGTAAGCGTGTTGTTTCCATCGCTTATTTTCAAACTATGGAATGTGCTGATATCATTGCACGAGTGGCAGCGCCAAAAACAAAGTTGTTTAATTTTATTTTTACGAAGATTGATTGATTGATATGTGGGGTTTAACGTCTTAAAACCACCATATGATTATGAGACGCCGTAGTGAAGGGCTGCGGAAATTTCGACCACCTGGGGTTCTTTAACGTGCACCCAAATCTGATCATACGGGCCTACAACATTTCCGCCTCCATCGGAAATGCAGCCACGGCAGCAGGGAATCGAACACACGACCTGCGGGTCAGCAGCCGAGTACCTTAGCCACTAGACCATCGCGGCGGTGCTATTTTTACAAAGAAACCACCCTGTTTTTAAACTAACGACACAGAGGAGCTGTTTTTGTGATCAGAAGTGACACTTCACGTACGAGTCATGACATAAGCAGTGTGCTTTGATTGGTTCGACGCAACAAGTCGTGCATAACCGTCCCAGAAGGGCTACACAACTGTGCACTAAAAAATTTTAAAAACACTCTTTATACTTTCTCAGACATAAAAAAAAATTTTGTTTTTAGACATCAAATATGAAAACAATTGCAAAACGACATTATGAGTGTTGCACAACAGTGAACATGAGAAGAGTCATGCGGCAAGTCTCTGTAAGAGGCATGCAGGGATTGAAACCGGCTTTTGACGTCAGTGGGAGATTAAAATGCAAAAGAGCACATTTTTTCTTGTCATCTGCTGGTCTTTTGAAGTTTCAAGGTTAATAGTTTGCGTTGCTGTATGCCAATTTTGATCATTCTTTTTTTTTGCATTTATCTCCGTATCCGGCACTACACGAACTCTAGCGCTGTTGAATGCCAACCACAATCACAGAAGAAAAATTTTGGGAAACCTGATTAATTCCCATGATGCATAGCTCATCTTGATTGATTTGTGGGGTTTAACGTCCCAAAGCCACCATATGATTATGAGAGACGCCGTAGTGGAGGGCTCCGGAAATTTCGACCACCTGTGGTTCTTTTAACGTGCACCCAAATCTGAGCACACGGGCCTACAACATTTCTGCCTCCATTTCTGCCTCCATTTCTGCCTCCAGCCGGGATTCGATCCCGCGACCTGCGGGTCAGCAGCCGAGTACTTAGGCACTAGACCACCGCGACGGGGCGCATAGCTCATGTGCTGTTGAGTCTTGTTTTCTCTAGTTTGACCTGTGTAGGACATGACTCCCTTCTAGCTAGTTTTACAATGCAGTACTATAACAGGAGTGTTTTTTATTGGTAATCAGTGATTTGTGAAACGAGCATGGAACATGTTCAGAAAATGCTACTAATTCAAAATGAAGGCTACTGTGAACATGTGAGCTAGATTTTATTTCATTGCATGAAACAGGGAATTAACAAATGTATTAAAAGAATTGCCAAAAATTACTCGCACCTCCCTTTGCAATGTCATCACCAGCTATGCATTAAGTGGGCACAACAGCCGCAAAACTGGAAACTGGCACGAGGGAGAGGGGGTCAAACTTGCCCCCCCCCCCCCCCCCCCCGTCATGTAGCTTCCTGTGCGTTGGTAGTGATAAAAGAAGAGAGAAGAAGCACAATGGGTTGTACAGTAACTTCGCTTATACTTGACATCTTTGAACAAACAATTTTAGCTGCAAGAGGTTCATGAACCAACTATGTTGAGGTCATTGGAAACTAAGGAGTGTTGTAGGTTCCCTCTATGGTTAAGCTCTATTCTAAATTGTTTTTACAGTGAAAGTTGTTATGAGATCACAACTAGGGTTTTTGGTGCCATAGTTGTCTGCTGCCACATATAATCACTATTTTCGAAATAAGAAAAAAAGTAAATAAAAAAAATACCAAGGATGCATTGAGTATTGAACCCGGGTCCCCTGTGTGCCAGTCTAGTAGGCTACCACTGCGACACGCCAGCGCTTGAAACTCCATTGCAAACTGACACTAGGCAGGCTTCAAGTAGGGAACGGAATCTTATTAATGTGAGTAATAAAGCATTTTAGAACAGCAAAGGAACCGCCTGGCATCGCAATGCGAATTTCATAATGAGTACGTCGTTGAATGCACCAAGCCATTACAAAAACCTCAGATAATTCTTTGTCATCAGCCACAGCATAAAAAAATTGCACGAAATTCCTTGCTAGTGTGTAGCGGGTACCACACTTCTTAGAATAATTATAAAGAATGGCATGGTGAATGCCTCCCTACTACACAAAAATTATAAGATTTATGTCATAGTAGATATCCTGCAAGTGTGCTTGTAGTTACCCAGAGAGTGTTTAAAAAAGGGCTCAGGAAATGCCACTCTTTTTTTTTAGCATGCACAGACGGGACGAGACTCCCTCACCATTTGCATTTTTTTTTTTCAGAGCATCAAGGATGCACTTTCGCATTAAACACTCAGAATCAGTGACTCAAAAATAGTAATGAGTTTGCCATTACTCAACAAGGCAGCTTGTGGTATCTAGTGCTTTTGTTGCTACTTGCAGCAAAGTGTGGCCAGTGAGCAATAATTCCTCTCTGTGTGCTTTGTGTAAACGCCCTTATTGCAAGTGAAGATGTAAGCTCTGCTCATCTCCTTCACATGGAGCAACACAAGCAAGGCATGTACAGAATCTAAAAATGGTAGTCATTCTGGATGTTTAAAATTTAAATTCTGTAGGTATGGCCAATTTGGGAGCTTTGCTACTACAAGGCCTGTTCTGAGGCAATCAATTTTGGGGATATCACATTTTGTTGTGCACTGATTGGCTGTTCATAGAAAGGTGGGCAAGCACATAGTTACTTCAATCATTGGACTAGTGAGATTCAATGTTATGCAGAGCATCCACGTTACTGAAAATAATATTTTTTAAAAATGTGGCCTTATACAGGGTGCCTCACCTTTCTTTAGCCAAAGTTTAAAAATATGCAGACACACGCAATTATGACGTGACCAAATGCATGTTGCTGACCATTGCCTGGAGTTAGTCAAACTATTTTTTGTGTTCCGAAAGATTGTTTAATTAGATGTGTTTAATTAACTATCTTTTGAAAGAACAAAGATGGATAAAAAATTTCAATGAGAAAGTTGTAGATAGGTTTGTAAAATGTTCGATTAGATAGTTTTGAACACTATATCTATTATTTATTAGTGTTTTTCTGCTAACTACAAATGCCCTCATAATACAAAAAAAATACCACGTGACAAACCCGCTAACGCACCAGTGTGCACAATGATTTTAGTGCTCCCTAATGTTCTGCATACGAACAATCACAGCATTTGCCCGATTGTGATGTCTCGACAAGGCCGCAGCAATGGTGGTGGCTTTGCTACAAACACGTTTTGCTATCGGCCACAAAGATGATAACCGCTGTGACTGCTTATCGCTATCATGAACTGGTGTGAGGCTAGTGTATCGTTCACACGCGGAACGTTAGAGAGCACCAGAATCACGGCGTGCGTAGGTGCACCAGTGGGTTTGTCACGTGGTATTTTTTATTTCATGGGCATTTATAGTTAGCAGAAAAGCACTAATGATTAAAAGATATAATTTTCGAAACTAATCAGATGTTTTGCAAATCGATCTACAATTTTCTCATTGAAATTTTTTATCCATCTTCATTCCTTCAAAAGTTGGTTAATTAAACAGATATAATTAAACAATATTTTAGAACACAAAAAATAGTCTAACTCCTGGCAACGATCAGCAACATGCATTGGTCGTGTTGTAATTGCGTTTGTTGGAATATTTTTAAACTCTGGCTAAAGATAGCTGGGGCACCCTCTATAGTGAAGCATTGCATCCAATTCTACTGGACAGACATCATGAACATGATATTAATAGGTACCTGAGTTTGAGTGATTAATCATTGATGAACTTGATTGACTGATTATGACCGAATCCTATTAAGTGTTTTATTAACTATTTTCGTTAGCTCAGCTATTGTGCAAAGGCTGTTCACTGTTCCCCGTAAATGATGCTCACAAATTGCACAGAGATAATTTTTCCCACTTTGTGTGTATGCATACGTATTCTTCAATTGTCACTGTAGTGTTATGCTGTGTTTTGAGGCTACCATTATTTAGCTTGCAACTGAGTGCTTCAAACTGGTTTGCAGGCCCCCAATTTCAAGCAAAGGCTTGGGAAAAGGAGCGAGAACGGCTTAATAGCAGCCCGCACTCTTCACTTGACTTGGAGTGGGAGAATGAAGTTGGTAAGGGAAGATTTAAAATTGTACAAGGTTAAGCTCTCTAGTGTTTAGTTTCCTGGCACACTTTGTTTCTGGCCTTTAATCTTGTTTCTTACATACTGGAAAGCTATAGTTGATTAGAATTTATGATAGAATGTGCTACTTCTACTGAATGAGGATGAAGAAAGAAAACAGATACATACACAGTACTCGTATGTGTCTCGATGCTTGGCGAGAAAAACTTATCTTGCAGATAGCAGACACTGCTATCAACATCTCAGCCAAATCTTGCAGTTATGCTCAGCAAGGCCAGTTTACAAGCAGGGCGCAATGCTGCCATTTTCTCAGGCACCCTCTTTTCTTCCAGAGGCCTGTGCTAACTTTCTTCAAAGCTGCCGATGCTTTGATGTTGAAAAGCAGGTAGCATGCTATTTATTGGCCGATAGCAGAGATGTTTAAATCAAATGCTCTTCTTAATACGGGTGGCAGTACCACACTCTGCTAGCATTGCACAATAACCACACGCGCCTGCAGGAACTGCAGCAGGATAGAGTGATTGCGTTTCATCGCATGTGCTCAAGGTCATGATGTACGCTCACATAACTTCCTTTCCCCATGTCATTCTTCCCTGTTTAGGCTCCAGTACTTTTATTGGTACTATAGAGAGAAAGCACCTAAACCGTGCGACAAATCTCTGTAACTCTGCTCGCCCCACAGGGGCGCCTGCGCAAGTAGGCGTTAGGTGTGTAGCGACACCACGGACCCAAGCTAACGGGGGAGTTTTGACTCCCTCCCACGCCTAGCCGTGCGTGGCTTTGCCGTGTCCGGGGAAAAGGGGATCCTGGGGGTTGAGCTGACGCTGGGTGATTGGACCTTTAAGGCCCCCCGGCAGAGACAACACACCCCTTTTGCCCCGGCTTCATGTAGACGGCGCCCCTGGACTGACCCACCCAGGGGAAATCGGCAGTCGCCTTTTCCTATCCCTCCCTCTCTCTCTACATTTTCGTCTTTGCCATCACCTTCTACCTTTCCTTTCTTCTTGTTTCTTCCTTTTACTTCCAATTTTTCTTGCGGCGAGGGTTAACCCTGTGCAAATAGCCTACCTTGGTCTAGGCGCATAGGGTTATAGTAGCGTTGTACGGCTGGCGTTGGCAAGTTTTTAGTATTTACGAACTTGTAGCGTCCCCTCGTTGGGCTCCATGGTGGGTGGTCGCCAACGCTGCCGATTAAAAATAAAACCGGCATGCATAAAGCATTCCCCTCACTTAGCGATCGTACCGGCTTGAAGCGGGTACGCACCAATGACATAAACTTTTTCAACAGGCCAATAGAAAGATTTCCTCACTTTCATGTTATCCACTGTATAAAAACTGGAAAGCAAGCCAGGACCGTCTCTCTTTTTGTAGTTGCTAGATGTCTTATCGAAACTCTTGGCACAGGATACAAGGTATCCAAAATGGCTAGTGGAGACCTTCTCCTCGAAATCCATGACACAGAACAATTTGAAAAGCTAGACCGTCTCTCAGATTTCGGTGGCATACCAATAACCATAACACCACATAGATCAATGAACACAACTCGCGGAGTGGTATCTGACATGGACTTACTTGACTTGACCGAGACTGAACTTTTGGAGGGGTGGAAGAGCCAAAATGTGACTAATGTACAGAGAATCATCATCAGAAGAAATAAAAAGGAAACAACAACGAAACACCTGATACTCGCGTTTACTTCCAGTAAATTGCCAGAAACCCTTCAAACAGGGTACACGAAAACTTCAATCAGGCCATACATACCAAACCTTCGTCGTTGCTTACAATGTCAGAGGTATGGCCATGACTCTAAAAGCTGCAGTGGTCGCCAGACCTGTGCACAATGTGGAGCCCTAGGCCACGTGTCTGAGAACTGCAAAGAGCAGCCGCACTGTGTAAACTGTGATGGAAACCATGCTGCATATTCACGTTCCTGTCCATACTGGAAGATAGAAAAGGAGATAATAACGGTGAAAGTGAAAGAAAACATTTCTTTTAAGAAAGCTAGGAAAAAAGTCTCGCCATTTTATGGCCCAACGTATGCTGATGCGGCGCATCAGGAGGCACCAGCCCCCGTCACTCCTTCCGCTCGCGCATAGCGAGCCGGTGGTTGTGGCACCTGCCCCCAAGGCGGCTGTAGTCCAGACTACACCGCCAACTCCCGAACAGAGACCGGAGACCCCAGGGTCATCAGGTCTCAAGGCCTCACCTCACCAGGCGAGGCCCAGAATCCGAACAACCAGCTCACACGTGCGAGCATTCAGTGCCTCCGAGGAGGCAATGGATACGTCGGTACCTTTGGTACTGAAAGAGCGGCGTGGCTCCTTAGAGCGCGTCAAGAAAACAAAAAAAGCAAATAACGGGGCCTGGTGATGGCCCTGTTACTTGAATTCAAACTTCCCGGCTAAACAGCCACTCGCTTTTCGTACACACAGCACTACTTTACATTCATCATGAACACTCAAATTATACAATGGAACGTCAGGGGCCTTATCAGAAACCTTGACGATATCCAAGAACTTTTACACGAACACTCACCAAAAGTGCTGTGTGTACAAGAAACACCTGAATTCAAAACATACCAACTTTCTTCGTAAATACGTTATTTTCCGAAAGGACTGTGATGATGCCATGACATCATCCAGAGGTGTTGCCATTATAGTGAATCAAGGGATTTCATGCACACACTTTCAACTCCAAACATCTCTTGAGGCAGTGGCTGTTCGAGCTGTGCTTTTCGACAAACTCTTAACAGTTTGCACTTTTTACGTACCTCCAAGCTATCACCTACAAAAACATGAATTCCAGTCCTTAATCGATGAACTCCCGGAACCTTTTGTTCTCCTTGGAGACATGAATGCGCATAGCAGGCTATGGGGCGACTCTCGTTGTGACGCCCGAGGTCGACTGATTGAACAGTTTCTTCTCTCTTTTAGTGCGTGTCTTCTGAATCGAAAAGAACCAACTTATAACCTCGCTAACAATACTTATTCCTTAATAGACCTAAGCATAGTATCTCTATCGCTTGTACCTCTACTTCACTGGAAAGTCATCACTAATCCCTACGGAAGTGACCCCTTTCCCGTAGTTATAAGCACACCTACATCAACTGAATGCCCTCCACAGGTACCCAAATGGCTATTAAGCTGATTGGGAACAGTTTTATACTATCACTCATTTAAGTTGGCGTGACATGTGTACATTAAGCATTGATGCTGCTGTCAACTACCTCACTTCGTTTTTGATTGATGCAGCAACAAAATGCATCCCACAAACGAATGGACACCCTGGAAAACGACACGTGCCATGGTGGAACTCCGAGTGCCAAAATGCGCGCAAGCAGCAAAACAAAGCGTGGAGGTCACCGACAGCTGCAAATCTTGACAGCTTTAAGAAAGTAAAGTCTCGAGGCAGGAGAACACGTCGGCAGGCCAGAAGAGAAAGCTGGCAGGAGTTTTTCTCAGGGATCAATTCATACACACAGGAGTCTAAAGTCTGGAACATGGTTGGTAGGGTAGCAGGAAGACAAGCACACAAACTCCCACTGGTGAACGCACAGAGTGACACCTTGGAAGATCAGGCGAACTTCCTCGGTACACACTTTGAGCGAGTGTCCAGCTTCTCGCACTATACTGACGCTTTCCAAAAATACAGAACAAGAATAGAAAAGTAAAAACTCGAACACAAATGTACGAGATACGAGGCGTACAATCAAGCTTTCAGCTTAGCTGAGCTTCAAACATCACTGAACTCCTGCAGTGATTTCGCTCCAGGTTCTGACCGTGTGGTTTACGAAGTGTTAAAAAAGCTACCAATCGAAACTCAAAAAACCTTACTTTGTTTGTACAATGCTATTTGGTTCTCTGGCACTATCCCTACTTCCTGGAAAGAAGCTATTGTTATTCCCATTTTGAAACAGGGCAAGGACCCTTCTTTAGTTTCGAGTAACAGGCCTATTGCACTTACAAGCTGCCTGTGCAAACTTTTTGAAAAAATGATCAACTGCCGACTTGTACATTTTGTTGAAACAAACAATTTGCTCGACCCATTTCAGTGCGGGTTTCGAGAGAGTAGATCCACCACCGACCACCTTGTTCGTATCGAGGCACAGATCAGAAACGCTTTCGCTCATAAGCAATTCTTTTTTTCTGTGTTCCTTGATATCGAAAAGGCATATGATACAACATGGCGCTTTGCAATACTTAGAGACCTGTCCCACCTTGGCGTCTCGGGAAGATTGTTTTTGCCAGTTTGAAAAGTACTCCAGCACGCATTGCAGCATACCAAACTTTGCATAATGAAATGATATTTAAAAAAAAAAGATGTTTTAGAGCAACGAAAATATTTTAGAATGAATGAAAATGTGAAAAGTGTGGAATTTTTGTTTTCCATTGTATAAACAGTGTAATAAACACTATATGTGCAAAAATATTCAAAACAAAAGAAAATTCAGAATATGCATTTTGTAGATAAATGACCCAGGAACAGTATAAAAATGATGAATATTGTACAATATGTTTCTATTCACATAGACAGAGAAAATCAGAACAGAGGTGCTTCTTCGTTGCTTGTGCTGTGCAGTGAAGCATTGCATGGTTTTTTTGTCAGGCACAAGTGTACTCGTACACTTTTCTTAGTAAATTTTTGTTATCTTGCGATAAGTCTCCAAGTGTTCCAATATAGATGGATACCCGCGATGTGAATATGCCCTCTATATATGAGATGTCCAATGAACTTTGTTATTTCATTTAGCATCACTTCTTTCCATGAGACACCTCACTTCGCGTAGGTTGGCATTCCAACAAATGCATCCAAGCATATTTCTTTGCATTTTAGCGCATTTCATATTTAAAAAGAGGACAATTTCCTGTGCAGTACTAAAAAGTTTCGCACTGCTTTGTAGTCAGGGCCAAGATGTGCTCTGGGGGCCTTCCTGTCATGAGGAGAAGCTCTGCAGCCAGTGCCTGCAAATAACCAGAGCGGCTATAAGAT